TGTGTGACAAGAGAGTGCCACCGATACTCAAAGGTAAGTTTTATAGAGCGGTGGTTAGACCGGTCATGATGTATGGGGCTGAGTGTTGGCCTGATAAGAACTCATATATCCAGAAGATGAAAGTAGCAGAGATGAGGATGTTGAGGTGGATGTGGGGGTACACTAGGATGGATAAGATTAGGAATGATGATATTCGGGAGAAGGTGGGCGTGGCTCCCATTGATAACAAGATGCGGGAAGCGAGGCTTAGATGGTTCGGGCACGTTCGGAGGAGAAGCTTAAACGCTCCGGTAAGGAGGTGTGAGCGGCTGGCCTTGGAAGGCTCGAGAAGAGGTAGAGGGCGACCTAAGAAGTATTGAGGAGAGGTAATTAGGCAGGACATAGCGAGGCTTCAGATTTTCGAGGACATGGCCCTTGATAGGGAGCTATGGAAATCGAGTATTAGGGTTATAGGTTAGGAGGTAGTTGAGTCTTTCCATAGTTCGTACATTTGTGAAGCTAGCTTGGTAGGGTTTTTGTCTGAGACAGCTAGTGGCAATGTTGTGTCTTACTACTCTTTCGTTTTTCATAGAACCAACTCTATTTAATGGTTACCGCTTTTGCTCTGCACCTATTTTCTGGCTTTCATGATGTTGTTAATTTTTTCTTATGGTATCTGTTGGTGGTACTGATATTGTCTCTTTTCTTTTCTTTCTCTTTTCTTTTCGTCTTCTTGAGCCGAGGGTCTTTCGGAAACAGCCTCTCTACTCCTCGGAGTAGGGATAAGGTCTGCGTACACACTACCCTCCCCAGACCCCACTAGTGGGATTTTACTAGGTCGTTGTTGTTGTTGTTGTATATTTCAGTTATTAACTAAAGTTTGTTTTTATGTCTAAATCTTATAGCCTGTTTGGCCAAGCTTCTCCAAAACCAAAAGCACTTTTTTTCAACAAAAAAAAGTATTTTTTTTCAAAGTTGAAGTGTTTGGCCAACCTTTTTAGAAGAAAAAAAGTGTTTTTTAATAGAAGCAGTTTTGGAGAAGCAGAAAAAAGTATTTTCTCCCCAAAAGCACTTTTGAGAAAAATACACTTAGAAATACTTTTTAAAAGCTTGGCCAAACACTAATTGTTGTTCAGAAGTGATTTTCAAATTAATTAGTCAAACACAAAATACTTCTCACCAAAAGTACTTTTGAGAAAAAATACTTCTCAAAATAAGCTAATTTTTGAAGCTTGGTCAAACAGGCTATTAATCATTCATATCTCAATCATTAAGTGTGTCTATTTTTTTATTTTACAACCATTTAATGGGTCTAAATAAATCTGAATGATTAAGGCCTACAACAAAGTATTAATATCATTAAGATGCAAACCATTCTGAGATTTCTGCAAAAATGACATTTCACAACTACTTCATCCACTTTCATCGCTAACCGCCGTCATCGCCAGTAGCTGCCCATCATTATTAACTACCACCACCCACAAGACACAACCACCTTACTCAGCCACAATCGTCGCCGCTGGTCACCACAGTCAGACGCCGCCATCACTGGACACTATTTACAATCACCACCACCATTACCACAATAGCCACTAATCACTACCAACAATCACCACCATCTGCTACCACTATATATCATCAACCACCCATATCAGTCACCACCGCCATTAGATACTACAATCATCCACCACAATTATAAGCCGCCGCCACCAACTACCACCATTGTTAACGGTTAACCACTATCGCCCAGCCATCATTACCACTAATTACTACCTACTACTACCACCATCAGCTAACACCACCACCAACCACTACTCCCAGTCAGCACCCACAACCCACTACCACTAGTCATCACCACCACCAAACACCATATAATTTTTTTTAAAATTATGTTGTTGATATATTATTAGATTAATTAGTATTTTATTTGAATTTCATATTTATTAATTTTAAATAAAGAAAAATTTATACACCCATATGTTAAGAAAACAAGCAATCTTAATACAACATCTTAATATTCAGACGTCTTAATCCTAATACACATCTTAATATTCATACGTGTATCCAGATTCATACGTCTTAATCTCAACAAAAACAAATGGGGTCTCAATGTCCAATTAGAAATTATTTAGCCTATGTTAGGTCAACGATGTAACCATTAGTCACAAAATATCCTGATTACTGCCAATCTCCTCCAACACAAGACGTTTGTTTGTCATATTTTTATATCTCGGGCAAACATAAGATTGTCGACGACCTACACCTCGAAAAGTTTACATCCCAAAACAAGTAACACAACTACTTATGACCTAAATTGACAGAAAAGAGAATTTATAAACAACTTAAAAACTTTCATTTGGAGAAAAAATTTTGTGCATTAAAATATCTTATATTGTCTACGAATATCTAGATCAAATTAAAAATTTATAAGACAAAAATGCATATGACCTCTGTGTTCCACCATCCACAAATACTGAAGGGCGAATAGCTATTGGTGGCACTGGAATACTTGTGACAAGAAGTTTTTCTGGTCTATCGCTGAGGTAGAGTAGCTCACAATCCTGCATATGTAACAATGAGAGAACAATGGTAGAAAGAAGAATAAAGGATTGCACAGAAGGAGTACAAAAGTTAACAAATATCAAACAATACCTCATCAGACATATTCTTAAAAAGGGAGTAAACTGCTTTTGGATCAATTTCTGGAGGTACACTAACAGATGTCTTGAGCTCTATCTTGTGAGAGATAGCCGCATTAAACTCATCCAAGAAACGATTTCCTCGTTCATGGATGATTTTTAACTGGCCCTTTTTCACCATACCTAATAATTATAATAAAATAAAAGAATAAGATAAACAATGAGGTCTAGAAGATACTATCACCATGCAAAAACCATAAAGCACCCAGTCTCCCCTATATCTAATAAAATTTTCAGCTCAACCATTCGAAATCGTTGAAGGCATAATTAAGAAAAAGAAGAAGCATTCATAGCCTTGAACATAGATGTATTTTTTGGTTGCTTTTTGGTGAAAACTGGTTAATATAAATGAAGTAGATACAATGCTAAAAAGAGACGCAATTTGCAACTACGCTTATTCCACTAGCTTAGTTCAAATATTTTTATAATATCTTAATACTTATCAAAAGTACTCGCTGACGGTTTAAGCTTTTATATAAGTTGGTCACACACTTCAACATTACATACTAGCAAGCAGAGGTTTCAAATTCGAGTCTCATCGCTACAGATTATCAAAGAGGATTTCTATGTGATTGGCTCATGAAAAAAACTCAGATATGCACGTGAGTGGGCATGCTGAATATATAATTAAGTAAATACAGTGTGATCTCCCTAACAGCTTAGTTTTTTGAATGAGATGGTCACACAATTCAACAAAAATTATATAAACTTCGACATTTTTTCATACGGTAAATATTTTTATTAATAATGGGAAATCTCTCATATACAAGCGGTATACCAAAAACTAGAAAATTTACGACATAATATGAGTCTCTATGAATGATACCCAATCTTCTATATACACTGGAATCTCATGGGTGCACCAAAAAGAAACTAGGAATGACAAGCTAATCCTCAAATGTACATAGTCGTTCTCTATGTTCTCATATTACTTTCGTTCCACATGACCCAAATAAATGCTAGTAGTGCAACATCTCATGCTCTTCTAATTCTCTTTTGTTCTTCTGAATTTCCAATTGAAGAGTCATCCTGAATCATCTCAAAACCACACACGACAAGCGAGTTACCGCTTAACAATATAGTAGGATGTGGTCCACATCTATCTTCACCTAGACATGTGCACACGAAGCACCAACTTACATATGTAATTCGCCTTTTTCTCAAATTCTCGCTGCCAACCAAGCGAAAAAGCAAACTTTTTTGTTGTCATATGGGAATCCAAATCGATAAGTATGGAAAACTCTAACTCATCCTTTGCCTAGAGCTTATGATAAAGACTTCAGAAAATAACCCATCTACTCCTACCCCTACCCTCCATGAGTCCTTACAGAGATATTTTATTTACTTATCCTAGTGAACAAATTCCTCGCTTATCAGAGAACTACATGACAAGTATCTACTCTATGCATAAAGAGAAGCCACTGAAGCAAAATGCTGACATGATTTAACGTTTCTCATGTAACGCGTCACCCCAGTAGTATTAGGAGGGTGTGGAGGTAGAGGATTAGCGTTGTGAGTTAATAGGCACTCTAGAGTTTCGTCTAGGCATCCCAGTAGTATTAGTCCTAGTCTTGTATTTTTCCATGCCTAGCCCCTTGCTATTTTATATTGTGTCATTATTTCCAGCAAGACTGAATCTACTTTTATAGTGTCGTATTCTTAGATATTTGTTGTTGCACGTATCTTCATTTGTTCCCATGTCTACTTACCTGTGCTACTGTCTGTTTATTGCTTCATTTTCACTTCTTTTGAGCCGAGGGTCTTTCGAAAACAGCCTCTCTACCTTCATTAGGTAGGGGTAAGGTCTGCGTATACTTCACCCTCCCCAGACTCCACTTGTGGGATTTCACTGGGCTTGTTGGTGTTGATGATGTAATGCGTCACCCCAAACCAATCAACCCATAACTTTTTTCCCCATTTAAATCGTCTCACGCTAACATTATACAACATAAAAATAAATATGAAAAGTGCTAGACATTCTCTATATTTCCTACTCGCATAGGAATATCTAATAGCGTTAAAAGACTCCTACAAAGTATAGGACCTAAACAAACGTCTTAACATGACTAAAATACATTCCTAACTACTCCCTCCATTCTATTTATGTGTCACTCTTTCCTTTTCAGTATGTCCCAAAAAGAATGTCAATTTTCTATATTTGGAAACAATTTAACTTTAAAATTTCCATGTTACCCTTAATAAGAAGATTTATAGTCACACAAATATCCAAGACTTCTTTTAGACCACAAGTTTCAAAAACCTTCCTTTCTTTCTTAAACTTTGTCCTTAGTCAAACGGTGCCACGTAAATTGGGACGGAGTAACTGATATTGCCTATATAAAAAATTTCTTTCGCTAAATCTGCACTGATTCCAAGAGATTGTAGGTCTTTCGAGACAACTTCCTTCCAAGTTATTTTAGGTCTACCTCGTTCTCTTTTAACACCTTCATCCATTATGAAATATAATCCAGCATAAAAAGAAAAAATGCAGCTCGGACCAAAGATCCATCCCAATGTAAATTAGTAGGTATGGTGACTATTTATCTACAAGAGGCATTATAACAATTTGGTTTCTTTATTGATACAATCTTACGGGCAATATGCATGTTACAATGAGCTTGAATTTAACAATTAGTATTAAGGAATTTTTTTGTTGAAGAATTATCCACATATTATACGATTCACATGCCAAAAGAAGTATTACATCATTGGTTCTATAAAGAGAAATATGAATTCCTCAACGACAACAACAACCACCCAGTATAATCCCACAAGTGGGGTCTAGGGAGGGTAGGATGTACGCAGCCTTACCCCTACCCTGGAAGGGCAGAAAGACTGTTTCCGAGTATGAATTCCTCAACGTAAAAGCTAAAACAAAATTTAACATTCAGCACTAGATATCAAGAAAAATTCAAGGCCCAACCTTCTAAACAATGGAGCATTTGTTATCAAAAAGTGTCGAAAGTCTTTTGCGAAAATCTTCATCAATTTTTGTGGAAAAAAGAATTGCAACCAAATGCCATTTCTCGATAAAAGTTTTTAGTTATTGCAGGAAACTATAAAAAACACCACTGGAGTAGCATTTCAGCTTTTAGAAAAATCGAAAAACATTTACTTTTTCAGCTTTGGAGAATCTGAAGCAATTTTTCAAGAAAAAAGTTTCACCAATTTTCACATATTTTTCAAATTTACAAGTTAAATAATATCCGCTCACTTAGATTTCGATATTAGAGATAAAGCAATTTTCCTAGATTTTTTCAAATGAATGCCCTTCAAAATCGCGTAAAAATAGTTGCACATGCATAATGAATAGTCAACAAAAATGTAGATGGCATCTAGTTAGAACAAAGGACTAGCTTTAGCCAAAAAGATGAAGATAAAGAAGAATATCAAACCATTCATGTATCCGCATTTGGAACATGTGACAGTCTTCTGGCCACTTGTCATGGAAGTACACTTTTTCACAACCTTTTTCTGTAGTTCACTCTTCATCAAAGGCTCAGTTCTTGGGTTTCTCATCTTCTTCAAAAAGACTCGACGCTCCTTGTCATCTAGAAGTATTGAGGAGCAGCACTGATAAAAAAAGCGGTTGCATAAGGAAAAATATTAAAGCACTGCATGCAAAGTAGATACCAAGCTCTTGAGCACGGTCAAAGGAAGGAAAAAAGCCAAAAGAAAACAAAATTCTGACAGGGCATCATAAATTGCTAATGTCACTCGTACTATCTCCAAACCATCTTCTTCTTTTTCTTTTCTTGTTTTTTTTTTGGTTTGGTAAATACTACTCTCCTAACCAACTTCACATGGGAATCTTGGTGAAAGTATCAGAATCAAATAAATTGTTGTTGTGGCATGGATGACTACCAATTAGCTTTTGAAGTCAGTTAGGATTGTTCAATTTGTACCTACTCTATCGCTATTCCCAGCCAAGTTTATTTTTATTAGTGACCTGTGCTATATCCCTATCTGAGCTAACTTTTGCAGTGACCATTCTCCACCAGGACATCCTAACTTTACCTTCAGCGGATGAAATGCATCGCAATGTTATTTTTCTTTATATTCGTAAAACAGGCAATTTCGTGTTTGCACATATAACACGCCTTAAACCCTCATGCCATGATAAGTCTACCCTTACCCTACCTGTCATCTTTTACCTTCCCCCCAAACTAACTCACCTTAAAACTATTTTTATCTCTCCCCTACTACAAACCCATCAGAGTTCACTTCTTCTTTCTTCTAAATTTGACTCAAAGATTTTGCTGCCTCCGAAGCTAGTTTTTACATGCTAATTTAAAATTACTGCATAAATAGCATACTCCCCAAACATCCCATCTACTTCCTCTACCATGCTAATTCAAAATTACTGGTTTTTCAACATTAACTTCAAATTACTGCCTTTTTTCCTCTTACTTCAAAGTCATTCTCGTCTATTTCTTTTTAATTCTCTTTCTTTTCGTTTTTGGGAGAAACAATTTCATCGATAAAAGAGCAAGTCAGTGTCATAATATGTACGCCCCACTTCTTCTTTTTTGAATTTGTTTCAAAAAATTTTGTGCCTCCAAACCAGCTTCTACTTTTCATTTAAATTTTCCATAACAAAAACTTTGATACCAAAACGACTTTTATATTTGATCTCTAAGAGCATTTCTGTTTTTAATTTCAACCAGAAACAAAAATGTTCATAAGCACCAGACATGTTTTTTTAACATCATAATAATGTTCATAATAACCTTAATTTGTAAAAAAAAAAAGGTTCATGACAACCAAAAATGCTTATTATTCTCAACTTCATTCTTCACTAATTATTTTGGACCACGACATATGAGAACTTTGAAGTATACAACAAACAAAGTAATAAAAACAAGAACAAGACTATAAAAATCAAGGTCTCTCACTAAGAGTTACATGATCCTAAGGCTTTCCCTCCAGAGTTCATAATCGTTAACTGGAAAAATCAGATTACGTATTTTTTGGAGGACATCTGCTCGTAACCATGTTTTCTTATCCTTTTCTGTATTAATGGGATATTTACGACAACTGCAATTATCTGATAATTTTATTGTCATGTTAATAGGAAATGCAATCTGATTTATAATAAATGAACGCCTACTCTAAACTGAATATTCTGTTTGTACTTTGGAGTTTTGCACAAGTATTATGAAAAGGCACATCAATTATCTGGAGTTTTGATCAATATACTGCTATTTTTGTCTTGAGAATAATAGGAAATTAAGTGTCTTTTTCTCATTATTCTACTTAATGTCTCTAAATAAATTTCACAGTTCTAAAAATATAACTTAACATAAAACTATCACAAATTTTCATCATTTAACAGCTAAAAATTAAAGTTATAAATGACTTCTTTTTTTTCAATCAAAGAAATTTTAAACAATTTGTATACAATTTTTCCTCACTACTACCAATATGATGTGGAAGAAAAACTAAAGTTTCAACCTCTCTGCCTAGTTAAATTGCATTCTTGAAGTTGTATAAAGTTGATATATACCAGAAAAGAGTGAAAACTACAAATAGCTTATTGCCGCAGAGATCATAGGGGTTAAGTTCAAACAAGATATCACCTTGCATATGCACTTCAAGAGGTCCACCACCGTCCCTAAATATCCAACATTATAAACGGGTAGAGTAAGCACCAAGTATCCGTAATGACCTGGACACTCTCTAAAGTTCCCGTGACATGTTTCACAACCCCCATTCTTGTTTGGAGGCCCCTGAAAATCCAAAACTTCGTATAATCAAGATACAGAAATCAGCATCAAAGACATAAAAAAAAAAAGTTAATCAAACTCAAAGAGAAACATGAAGGTCAAGGTTGTTCCTTTTCATCATCTAATCATAAATAAAAATAGCTTTATTTAGCCTCCACTCATTTAAACTGATATGCACAGATCATAAACTGTTAGCAACTAAAAACCTGTAAACAACTCGCGCTCCAAAAATAATGATTAATCTGCATTATACTCCCAGCAGCCCTAAAAATAATTTCCAGAGCAACAGCTACACCTCTATACAATAAACCACAAATTATATAGACCCTATGTGACATAGTTTGACTTGGTATGGACTTGGTATGGATATTAAGGAAAAACGAAGACGTTTGAGATCTTTGATCTTAAACATGCCAGAGTATTTGTATGGCTATAGAAGTTTCTCAGTAAGTGCAATGGGAAGTTAAAGTTAAACAGTTTCCAAATATTGAAATGTACTAATAACAATTTGTTTTGATGGTTGCTATGTGGTTTGGTCATGTGAGGAGGAGGAGCACAGACGCCCCGGTGAGGAGGTGTGAGAGGTTGACATTGGAGGGCCTACGGAGAGGTAGAGTTAGGCCAAAGAAGAGGTGGGGAGAGGTGATTAGGCAAGACATGGCGCAACTTCAGCTGACCGAGGACATGACCCGTAATAGGAAGGTATGGAGATCAAGAATTAGGGTAATAGAGTAGGTAGTGTAGAGTGTTCATAACATTAGTATTGGCACGCATTCTCGTTTTCTGTTGGTAGTAGGTTTTATGACTAACCGTTATTTTCTTTCATTGTTGATCACTTTACTGTCTTGTTGTTTTATTCTGCTTTTATATGACTTTTTTATATTGTCCCTTCTTGCCTATATTTTCATTAATGTGGTACTTATACTATACTGAGCCGAGGGTCTATTGGAAACAACCTCTCTATCCTCACAAGGTAGGGGTAAGGTCTGCGTACACACTACCCTCCCCATATCCCACGGTGTTGGATAATACTAGGTATGTTATTTTTGTTGTTGTTGGTTGCTATGTATCATTTCATAATGTATTGTACTGTATTGTATTGATGAATCCAATATTTGGATAGATTATATCGTTTTATAATGTCACATAGCCATCAATTTGAGGAATACAAACAACGACGACAACAACAACAACAACAACAACAACAACAACAACAACAACAACAACAACAAGCCCAGTGAAATCCCACAAGTAGGGTATGGGGAAGGTAAAGTGTACGCAGATTACCCCTAGCTAATGAGGAATAAGCTTACAATATTATAAAGAAAGAGTAGGGTACTAGGTAGAGTTATTAAAAAGGGATAGGGTAAAGAATAAAATGTAATTATTAAATACTAATACAAAAATGGGGGGAACAAATAATCGGCGCGGCCACACCAAATCCATCGTTACATAAAATGGAACTTTTTATCGTTGCATGACTACGGATTTAACAATATGATACAATAAAATTTAAGTAACAACCAAAACAAATATTGTATTCACCAAAATAATTGATACAATACGTCACAACCATCCAACAAGCTGTACAGAAGCTGCGTCACATAAAATGGAACGGATGGAGTAGTATATAGATGAGTTGGGACCCGCCTTCTATAAACAATGTCCAGTGGTTATGTTGCTAAATCAGTTTAAATGTGATTATTATGTGAATTGGAGTTAAAAGAGGGTTACCATGCGGGGATCTAACAAGCCATTAGGAATAGGCTTTTTAGTAGATTCATAGTAAACCCCACGGTAGACTTCAACTTCTCCTAACTTCAAAATTTCCGCCTCTGAGAATAGAGAAAATTGAATGCTTTTTCTGTTACAACAACAATAAAAAACAATCGATCAAAACATTAACTAAAAACAAAAAACAAAAAAAAATTCAATTAACTGACATTTTTCTAGGACCAACATCTTCAATGTAGGGCTGTTTAGTGAATTGGATTATCTCTTGTGTTCTCCTCATCTCAAAGAGACTTCTTTTTTTTTCCTTCTGTACTGAAATAGTACAGAGGAATGAAAGTGTGAAGTGTAGGGGTTTAAGGAGAAGAGGCTTATTGGGCGGGAGGGTTGGGGTTTATGGGGCGGTACTGACGCCGACTGAGGCGCTTAAGTGAGGAGACAGAAAAACCCTACAGTATTATTTGAATGGTGAAGGCGGCGACAGCCGTATGTCGTGTAGATCGGGTGGTAAGTGCCGTTTGGAGTTTTTGCCCTCTTTCAAAGAGTTCGTGTTCGAATCCGGAATGTTAAAAAGAGCTTTATTTGTTTTTTTTAACTGTTAACCTTTACTACTATTCCACCAATCCTTTTGTCCATACAAATTATTTCATTATTTCAACTTCAATTTGATATACTATTTACAAATAAATTTTTATTTTATAATTTGGTCTATTATTTATACTTCAAGTTTAAATAATGAAAATGAAGTTTTCAACTTATTTGAGGAGTATTTCAAGTAAAATAATGATTTTCAACTATAAAAGTTCAAAAGTTTTTTAAGTAAAGTTCATGTCAAAACTCATTTTCAACTTAATACTCTTATTTAATTTCCACTTTAAATATTTTTATTCTATCAACTTCAAGCCTCGTATAGCTCCAAGGTATTTCAATAGTTAGAGGAGGAACTAGCATACGAGGAAAAAGAACACTCGTACGGTTAAAAAAATAAATTTTAAACATAACTCAACTCCAAATTAACTCATGAGACAATGATTGTCTGAGACCGTATAAAAAGATAACAATTCATTCTATCAATCAATTTGAAACACTTGGGGCCAAGGTTGGTACCAAAAACTTAGTGTGTTTGTCTCTACTATATATGTCAAGAAAATAAACCTTAAGCTCAACACATACATTATTAGATATTCTAATGCAAACTAGACGAGCTTTCAACAAGATAAGAGCAAAGACGTTATCCATTAGATCTTGTATAAAAAGTATAATTTCGAGTTATGGCGCTTGTAACTCGTGAGCTAATCTAGTTGAAATAATTTTTATAATAATTCTGGTGAAGTGAAGTCAAACAAGTGAACCTAATATGTGACAATCAAATTGTCTTCCTATTGCCTTAAATCTAACTTTTCATGAAAGGACAAAACTTGCTAAAAATAAAATGTTCATTCGTATTCTTATGATGACATAACTAATCATTCTACTTTGTAGGTGGTATTCAAAAAAGTATGATGACAACATTAGGTTTATTGTTGTCTTTTTTGTATCTTTTTTCGTCCAGAGGCAGGCCAATAGCCCTGAATCTTTTCTATTTAAGAGGTAACCATAGTAAAAATGTCAAGACCCAAAACTCATTATAGGTCGTGATGGCGCCTAACGTGGCCGTCAGGCAAACCAACGGTGATTTGCCAATTTGATTGCTCGTTTTATTACTTTCAAAATCACAAATTTTAATAAGAAAAGGAGATTTACACTTTCAAGTCATGGGAACGTACAACATTTGTAATTTATAAAAGAAATGAAAGGCGATAATAATGTACGAAACCCTAAGCATCAACTAGTATAACCCCAAAATCCGATGTCACAAGTGCATGAGCATTTTTAAGGAGTACAATAATAATACAATATCTGTCCAGAATGTAAATAAGACATGATAAAATAAATAGTACGATGGAGACTCGGTGGACTGCGATGCATAGCCTGAATTGCAGCTCACCTAAAGTCTCATCAACAGATACGCCTACGCGCCAAGATGATCACCAAATGAACTTATCAGATCCTGCACATTTAGTAAAGAAGTGCAACATGAGTACGTAAATCAACGCGTACCCAATAAGTATCTAGTCTAACCCTAGAGAAGTAGTGACGAGGGGTCAACATCGACACTTACTAGAGGTCTAATAAAATAATATAATAATTCATAACATGTATGAAGTGCACAGCGATAGTGGGGTAAATCTATAAATTTCATAATCTTTCAAATATTTAATAAATTTCTCGATCTTGTATTCTACCTTAATAGCTCAGGAAATACCAAGTGTCAATATCAAATAAATAAGGAATACTCAGACTACTAGCGATATAACGCATGATTCTGCCGAGGTCGTTCGGCCCGATCCAAAATAATTTGTACATTGCCGAGGGTCGAGTGACATGAACCATAGATGCATCTATGATACTGCCGAGGCATACGGCCCGCTCCATAAGAAAGGAAGGGAGTTACCGAATTATGAGACACGTGTTTACAATACTGTACATGAGCATAGAACGCATATAATCTTTACCGTTTCTCAAATAACTCGCCCACAACTCAAAGTGTTAAGGCTCGGCCTATTATACATATATTTATTTCTAAATCAAATTCAGTTATAACTTTAATTAATTAAGCCAGGAGAACGAGTTCAAATAATTCAATTATTACCTGATAAAGTCCTAAGTCTACCCGAACATAAACATGCTTTAGCTACGTATGGACTCTCGTCACCTCGTGCATACGTAGCACCCATAACTAGTTGCACATAACAATAATATCACCTAGGGGTAGCTTCCCCCTAATAAAGTTAGAAAAGAGACTTACCTCAATCCGAAGTTCCATGACCAGCTCCAACGCCTCTCTAACACCTCAACTCAAAGCCAAACAATCTGTAACTAGTCAAACAATGTGAAACTCAATCAAAATATACTCCAATGCTTATACTTAATCAATTCATAAAAATCCCCAACTCCACTCTAAAAGTCAATAAAATCAACCCTCGGGGCCACGTGCCCAGATTTCAAAATAATTCGAAGATAACTTTACCCATAATACCATGAACTCAAATATATAATTTATTCCTAATTCCATTTCCAAAATCGTGGTCAAAATCAGAAAATACCAATTTTTAGGTTTTCCACCAAAATCCCAAATTTTCTACAAATTCTCGTACTTACATCCATATATAAATCATGTATTTAACTCACAATGTGAAGAAATCACTTACCCCATAATAGATGATGAAGAAGACACTCCAAAATTGCTCCAAAATCGGCTCTCATGGACGAAATGAAGTGGAATTGAGCCAAATCCCCATTTTAAAAGAACACATTGTCCAGCCCGACCTTTGCACATGCGGTTCATTAGTCGCTTCTGCGTGGCCATACCTATGAAAATTTTCATCGCATGTGCGGTTCCCACTAAGCCCAGCCAACTCCGCTTCTGCGGACAACACGACACACTGTGGCGTCGCTTTTGCGATCACTCCTCCACTTCTGCGATAAATCCCCCAACACGAAGCCTCGCACCTACGGAAACATTCCCCGCTTATGCGGCATCGCAAGTGCGAGATTCTTCCACTCATGCGCCTTCACTCGTTTCTGCGCCCAGGGTATCGTTTATGCGCTTGCGCATATGCGGCCAAAGCTCCGCACATGCGGCCCTTCTTATGGCCGGCTTCTCCGCTTCTGCGACGACACCCATCGCACCTGTGTGTCCGCACCTGCGACCAAACCACCGCAGGTGCGGTGACACTAGATTTCAGCAGTTTCCAGCATTACCTCAAATCCATATTTCAATCCGATTTTAATTCTTTTCAAACCCGAGGCCCCCGGGACCCCATCCAAACATACCAACACATCCCAAAATACGACACGAACCTACTCGGGGTCTCAAATCACACCAAACAACATCAAAGTTGTGAATCGACGATCAAAATCTTTCTTTACTTTCAAACTTCGACGAACGCGTCCGATTCATATCAAAACATTCTGGAATGACGCCAAACTTTGTGCACAATTCATAAATCAGAATACGAACCTATTACAAGGCTCGAAATCCCAAACGGACATCAACAACACCAAAGTCCACCTCAAACCAAACTTAGGAAATTCTAAAGCCTTCCAAATACCAACTTTCCACAATAAGCGCCGAAATGCTCCCGGGTGATCCGATACTCAACCCGAACCTACGCCCAAGTCCAAAATAATCATAGTCAATTCTTCCAACTTAAAGCTTCCGAAATTAGAATTTTCTTTCTAAATCAACTCCGAACTTCCCGAAATTCAACTTCATCCACATGTACAAGTCATAATACCTGGAGTGAAGCTACTCAAGGCCTCAAACCACTAAACGACGTGCTAGAACTCAAAACGACCGGTCGGGTCGTTACATTATCCCCCACTTAAACATACATTCGTCTTCGAACGTGCTAAGGACTGATCCGGAGTTGTCCAAAACCATTGTTTAACACCTCGTGCACCTACCCCTGCCACCACAACCTAGTTAAACACATTAGCCCGAGCCAGACTGAAGATCCTCCCTTTTTATTTAGTCAAAAAGCCTTAGAACCAAATTCCAACCTCCGAATTTCTCTACAAAACCTGATTCTAACATACGAACACCATATCAATCACTACACACTGTACCAAAACATGATCGTACATATTTGCTGAATTCACACCATGCACCACATAGTTCACATGCCCATAATACATCCTCCGACCATAACAACTGAAATCTCACGAATCTGATGCCTGCAATATGCCTCATAACACATATGAGCCCTGTTCCAATTCTAGCAATACTGCCATGACGAAAGAGACGTGTAGAAACTCATAACCACCTGTCGAATCAATAAAGCATGGAGTCTCTCCTCCTGACAAGAACCATTACCTCATTCTGAACTGAATAACGATATTTTCTCTTTAATATACCTTATATAAATATGATTGCACTAATTTTAGGCCCAATAATCTCGTCTCACCCAGTACAAACTGCTCAGGCAATAAGTCACCTCAAACACTGACAAAGATCTTATGCAACACTATCAAAGCGCCAACAAGTTATCACTCGAATATAACTCATAAGGAAGAACGAACTCTGGCAGGAAATTACCTAGCCTGCGTAACGAATAAAACGGCCGAATAGATGCTATGAACCTACCTCAGGGATGAAAAACAAGGCACACGGAATAAGTGTAAGGAACTATGCTCAACATCTCACTATTGCGGCGTGAAACCTGATCCAATATGACACTGTTGCAGCGTGCAACCCGATCCACACAATATGCCCGTGGCGGCGTGCCACCCGATCCAAACAATATACACGTGACGGCGTGCCACCCGATCCGCACATAACAATCAAGAAGAAAACACACATATCAAGTCATAACGCTTATACTTATGAAATACCTGAATATCGACCACAAGCACGCCAAGTGCATAATACAAATCCTGGGGAGATGGATAGCGCCATACGCTATGAAACCTAAGCACAACTAAGGTGCGATA